GTGATTACACAGATGTGAACATATGTAAAAATTTATTGTGTACTTTTTCTTAAAAAAAAAAAAACTGAATACCTAGGGCAGTAAAATCAAAGACAAGTTCAAAGCAACAATGTTTTCATTATTAGACAAGGACAAAAATAAATGCACTAAGTTTTCAACTCAAAAGCTATACATGACTTAATGACTGAATGAAAAAGTATGTATAATACATCTAAGAGCAAATGGTTAAAAAAAGTTAATATTAAGTTAAAAATGGAAATTAACATTAGAAAATATGGTATAATTGCTAAATGGATCCAAGAAGTTGTCCTGTGAAAAATAAATAAAAAGCAAAAGTTAAAACAAAAATGTTTATGCTAGTCAAAAAAAAACTGGGGGGAAAAACACACAAATATCAAAATTTTTAAGTGAGAAAAATTGAAACATTTTGAAAATGAGAATACTGTTTAAAATCTTTATACTAATCAATTTGAAAATCTCAATTTTCTCAGAAAATATAAATTAACAAAATTGTCACATGATGAATTAGAAAAGTTGAACAAACTAATCATTATGGGGAAAAATACTGAAAAAGTCATCAAAGAATTATTTCAAAGAAAGCTGCCAGACCCAGTTGGTTTTATGGGTGAGCTCTTTCCTGTACTCATGGAACAGATAATTCCCATGTTATACAGTCTGTTCCCGAAGTTGGAAAGTGCTTCAATTTACTGTATAAAATTAGCTTAGCCTCGATTCCAAAGCTGACAAAAATAGTACAAAACTACAAACGTCACTTATGAATATAGATGGAAAACTCCCAAATAAAATATTAACAAGCAAGTCTAACAAAACTAAACTTTCAAGAAATAACGTATCATGAGCAATTAGGTATATTCTAGAAATTCTAAGATTGTTACTATTAGGAAATTAATATAACAAATTGAAAGAAGAAAAATCGTAATTATCTCAATAGTTGCTTAAAAGATATTTGGTAAAAATTCAACACCCTTCCTAATTAAAAAAAAAAAAAAAAAGATTAATCAACCAAGAAAACATGTTACTAACACCCAACCTCACACCCAGAGGAGGAGAATCACTAGAAGCCTGGTTATTAGACAGGGCAGGATACCCACTCCATCATTACTAAAACAGGAAGTTGTACACAAAGCAACTAACAAGAAAAAAAGTAAAATTATCTCCTAAGATGAGCAAAATTATCAGACTTAGAAATCACATAAACGTCTGCCAAGAAAACCCAAAAAGAAAAACTATCTAAACCTATACTAAGAATTCAGCAACTGACAGAATATAAAAGAAAATGTAGAAACTAATAGTCCTATAGTAACAACACTAGGTTAGAAGATATAATAGGAAAAGATCCCACTGAAAATAATATTAAAAAATTAAAGAGTCTATCTAAAGATAACTTCAAAATGATTTGAATGAATTCAGAGATATTTCATGTTCCTGGGTAGGAAGAATCAGTATGGAAATTCTCTATTAAGGAACTTAACATGATAGGATTCTAGTAAAATCTCAAGAGATTTGAGGGGAGAAGAGTAGGAGGAGAGAACCTGACAAAATAATTTAGTTTGTGATGATGTCATATATGCAAAGAAAAGAGGGAGGAAGATTTTTGAAAAGAGAAACTTGAACTTGTAGATATTAAAACATATTATAATGTAACAATAGCTAAAATAGAGTGATTTGAAAAGGCTAATAAAACAACTGATGAAATGGAAATTCCCCAAACAGGCCCAGGTGTACATATGTTTTTAACATATGCTGAACACAGCAACTCAAATCATTGGGAAAATAGATTATTCAATAAACTAAAGAAATTGGTTAACTATGTGAGAAAATTAAATTAGATCCTTACTCACACTGTGCACAAAAATAAATTCATTTGGATGAAAAATTAAATGTGAAAAATAATATCATAATGAACTATGAAAACAGAGGTGACTATTTTACCTGATCTCAGATGGGGAAAGCCTTTTGAAGCATAAAAGATAAGGCTAAAAATACAAAGGGTGACAGATTCGACTACAAAAAGTTTAAAACATCTGTTTGGAAAAAAGAAAAAGAAAACCTACAAAATTAAAATGCAAATAAAAAACTAGAAAAACATTTACAAATTATAAGCCTTAACATATAAAGAGTTCTTTTAAAACCAAAAGGGAAATATACACACTTCAATATAAAAATGAGCAAAGGATAAGGCAATAAACACACTTTAAAAACACTGAGTTTCCTTCAGTAAATCACAGCATTAAAAAATAGGTGGGATGGAGGTGGAGGAACTTGAGCGACATAACAACCAAATGCAACGAGAGGAACTTGCCCAAAACCAGATTCAAGCAAACAACTTTAAAACAATACTTTGAGACAAATCATATAATTGGATATAAACTGGGTAATAGGTGATAATAAGGAATTTATATTAATAAGCTAGGTGTGATAATGGTATGGCAATTAGTTAAGAAAATATCCTTTTTTTATAATGCATACTGAAGAATCTAGGATAGAATGTTGAGACAGCTATAATTTACTTTAAAATACTACACCCAAAAAAGAAAAAGATGACGCAAATCTGGCATAATGTTAATTATTAAGTAGGCCAAAAAAAAATTATTTTTTTTTTTTTTTTAACAAATAAATCCAATAAATGCTAAGGTGCAATAGAAACCAACAATCCCAGCCAATGCTGATGGGAGGGTAAATTGGTAGAACTTTTCTGGAGGGTAAGCTGGTAGTAGTGTCAGAATCCTTGAAAAAATGTTTAAACCCAGCAAGTCCATGGTCAATACTTTTCTCAAGTAAATTTTCAACATGGGCATAAAGATTTTAAAACTTTCAAGTCTATCGTAACATTATTTGTGATTGTGAAATAGTGAAAACTACTCAAATATTTTTCACACAGCCATCTGATAGACTACTACCAGGAAGTCATCAAAAACTGAATTTTAGAAGGCTAATTAAGGCTATATTGATATATGTTATGGTGCAGCAGCTATGGAAAACAGGATGGTGTTTCCTCAAAAAATTAAAAATAGAATTACCATAGGATCCAACAGTTCTACTTTCAGGTATTTATCCAAAAGAATTGAAAGCAGGGACTTGAAGAGATATTTGTACACTCATGTTCACAACAGCACTATGTACAATAGGCAAAAGGTAGAAGAAGCAATTCAAGCAATCCTTGGATGGATGAATGGATAAACAAAATGTGGTCTATTCATACAATGGAGTATTATTCAGCCTTTAAAAAGGAGATTCTAATAAGTCCTACAACATGAATGAAGCTTGAAGACATTATGCTGAGTGAAATAAGCCAGTTACAAAAGGGCGAAAATACTGTATGATTCCATGAGGTATCACACAGAGAAACTTGAGTAGTCAGATTCAAAGAGAAAGAAAGCAGAATGATGGGGGATAGAGGGGAGGAAGGGAGAGAAGAGTTATAGTTTAATGTGTACACAGTTTGAGTTTGGGAAAATGAAAAAGTTCTGGAGATAGATGGTGGTTATGGTTGCTTACAAGACAATGTGAATGTACTTAATGACACCAAACTATACACTTAAAAATGATTAAGATGGTAAATTTGATGTTATGTGTATTTTATAACAAAAATAAAGATACATCGATACATTTTAAAGACAAAAAGCATGATGCAAAATAATATGTTCCTGTATAATCTTAATTTTGTTTTATTGATGTCTTAAATATTAATATATGTTTGCACACGGAAAAAAGCTCCAAGGGTATATATCAAAATGATAATAATTATCACTAGGTGCTGTGCTTACAGGAGAGTTTTATTTTCTTAGTATGTCTGTGGGCTTTTCTGTAATTTCTAGTTTTTCTACAATTACTTTTATAATGAAAAGCAAAAGTATGCTGACTAGACAAATGAAGAAGGAAAGAAAAGGACACTCATATTGGCCACTGATCCTAATATGAGAATGCCCACAAGTATATTTCCAAATGACATAATAAATGTAACCCTCCTTGAGAATCAAATCATTAACGGCTTTGGGAAAATAGGGACCGATTCAGAAGACAGAGAGCATCAGGGAGTACCGTGAAGAATTAAAATAGAGGCATACGCCTGGGTTTAAGCAATTCCTGAGGCCATGGTGGGTTCATGACATCCGTGTGCCCAGCAGAAAGGAAAAGACCAGGGAAGCCTCAAAAAGAACAGGTCTATCAGAAAGTAAAGGCTCAGAAAAAAAGGACTCGAATCAACGCAGCGCTCTCCCTGGGACTCAACACTCCCCACCTCCACATCTCTCTTAAGCAAAATCTATTCTCAGAAAATATTTTCTAGACAGCAGACTTCAAGAGAAAAAGGAGCCTTTTTTTCTGTGGCATTCCCTCACCACATATGGTACTGCTCTGAATAGAGGCTTTATGAGGGAGGGTCCAGATACCACAGCCACGGTTATGCCACTTACCACAAACAACAATAAATAGACATTAGGGTTTAGATTTCCATGCAGCAGAGGCACCCCGAATAATTACGAGAGAGCTTCCACCACATTCCAACATCCAGTAAATGTTTACTGAGTGCCTACTAAGCACAGAACACTATTTGTAATCACTCTCTCACGCAACTCCTTCGTTCTGTTCCAGGGCTCAGACTAGGAAAGTAATGATGTAGGCCGGAGGCATCTGACAGTTTAATTCTACATGTCACTCATCTCCTGGATTGGGAAAAGAGGGGCAGAGGCAGAGGGAAAGCACTGATCCCTAAAGATCAAGGGGACCCATCACTGCATCTCACCACCATAGCCCTGGGCAAAAGGAGCTGAGTTCTATAGTGCAGGCAGAGAGAAGCACTCAGCCTTCCTAAAACTCCACAGATAGCACCCACGGAGAGCAGAATCACTGTAGCCCCTGGTCCTGGAGGAAACGACATCATCAGGTTTATCCGCCACGTTGAGAGAAATCCATGCCTACAAATTCTTCTCCCCACCCCCACAAATGAAGCACGTCAACCACCCCTTCATCATACGTACTTTTGCCCCCATTGTTCTTCAGAACACTGGAGAGATTGACAGAGGCGGTGCCTAGCAGTTCATTTCTCAAGGTATGGCAGCTCCAGACCTTCAAATCTAAATGACTCTGAGCTGTGACATTCCTAGAAAACAAATAGGTGTTTCATCACATCCAAGCAGATCAGTCACTCCTGTTACTTAGAAGAAAACTGCTGATGTCTTAGAAGGGGGAAAAAATCCCAAACAGGAAGACACTCACATATCCTTTTTCCCACAAAGCTGACCCTGTAACCATCTAGCTAATAATGAATGCTCTGTGAGCTCAATGATGTGGAAACACCTATAGAGAGGCGGCTTAGGTACCAAAGGCAGAGAAGAGTTAGAAGCTCCACAGGAAATCTGGATCTCTCCCAGCCCCTTCAGAGTGCCTTCTCTCTTTTCCCCCCATGTTACTGCATTCAAATAGAGGGACTTTCTCTTACAAAATGATGATCTCATTCCAGAGAAGCTCGGAGCTCCCAATTCGCTTCCCAGTCTTCTTGGTCTCGCTGGGGAGTCCATCCACTGCCACTTCCACAAACGAGTTAATTCGAGGTTGGCGATTATGTACCTTGGGCTTTGCTGACACCACTGGACGGGAAAGGAAGAAAAAGTCAAAGATTGAGCCAGAGGGCTCCCAGCTGCCCCCCTGTGGCAGATGGTCTTGCTCTTTTTTGCCGTTTCTCTCAAAAAACAAATTTTGTTTTTCCCTGATTCTAAGGAAATTTATTTTTTCAAATGTGAAGATATTTTTAAAATATGAAGCATAAGAAATAAAAATCACTCCTAACCTAAAAACAAGATGTCGGTAAATCCAGACTTTCTAGACTTTTATTTTTTATTTCCCTAGTTCTTTAAAAATTCTCCTCCACCTAAAATCCATTTTAAAAGGCTGAAATATAAGCCCATTACAAGGATATGCCATGATTTAGTTAATTATTCTTTCACTGATGAAGAGATTGTTTCTAAGTTTTTACTCCAGGTAAATAACCACAAATGTATATATTTGCATGCATTTCTGAGTATTCTTCCAAAAGATATAAACATTTTTTAAAGTTCTTAAAATTGTTTAATTCTTTTCCAAAAAAAGTAAACCTTTATAGATACCCATAAGCACTATAGAAATATATCCATTTCACTAAACACTGCATAGTTCTAAGTACCATGTTTTTTCACTCTTTGTAAATCATATAGGTAAAAAAAAAAAAAAAGCATGAAGTTAATAGCTAAGAATTAATGAGTACTAATTACAGACACTATACTATATATACAGCCCTAATTCGAATTCAAATTGTCCTGTCAACGTCCATAACAGCAAAAGAGAAAAGAAAATGTTTCTGGTCCAGGACCCAATCTAGGGTCACACATTGGTTAGTAGTTTTATTTTGATATACCTAAACTACAGAAAAGTTGAAAGAATAGAATAATTGCATACTCTTCACCAATTGTTATCATTTTGCCACATTTGCCTCTGTCCCGCTCTATGTATGTGTTTCTATCAGTGCTATTCAACAGAACTTTTGTGATAACAAAAATGTTCTACACCAGGGCTGTCCAATGCATTGCCATGTGATACATGTGGCTATTGAGCACTTTAAATATGGCTAATGTCACTGAGGATTTGAACTGTAAATTTAATTTAATTAATATACTTTTAATGTAAATAGTTCTACGGGACTATGGTGGCTATCCTATTGGACAGCACAGGATATAAATATATAATATTTATGACTACATTTTTGTGTATCTATGTCTATATTCACACACTTTTTTTGAAAGGAAATTGTAGACACCATGACAGATCAGCCCTAAATACTTTCAGAACGCAAGGAATATATCATCACTCCCAATTCACCCAGGAGGAAACAGGCTTGCCAAAGCGGGGTCACTGCACCAGGCTACATAGCCAAGGAGCTTCAAGCCAGGATGTGCATCTCGGCAGCCTGACTCCACACCATGCTGTATGCCATTGCTGGACTTTGCTTATTCGTTCTAATGCTTTTCTTCAATTGCTAGTGAGACTGAGTAGTTTTTCCGTTTGCTTGTTAACCATCTGCATTTCCTCTTCTGTTCGTATCCTTCATGTGGCATTTCTGATGTTCACTTGGTACCAGCAAGCCAGGACTCAGCACAAGCTAAGCAAGTATCTACCGGCAGCTAGACAAGATCCTCTTAGAGCATATAATAGCCATGGATGAAACACACTCAGATGTCTTCTATCCTGTGCCCCAAATCAGAGCATATGACTGATGTTCCTCACCCACGAGGGCAAGATTGTCCTAGCCTGAGCTCCTTTCTGTCCAGTGTTAGCAAACCTTTCCCTCCCAGATCTTTCTGAGAGGTGACAGTCCTATAAGGGTCCACAACTTGGCAAGGTGCAAACCCACCTCTGGACAGTTAACAATACCTGTCTTTTCCAGGCCCCAAAGAGCAGTAAAGAAAAAGTCAAAGAAGAATAACAACAAAAGTCGTGGTGAAGATTCAGGAGCAACAGGGAATGATGCTAGGCATAAAAAGGTTGTGGTGCTGGGAAAATGTGGCTCAGAGTAGAAAAATGTAACACTGTACACATAGACCAAGGTTAACTGAGGCCACCTGGTGGGGTGAGAGTAGCTCTGCATGCAGGCCTTTAACTAAAATATATATATTTACATATATGGACTAACTATAATTAGAGTCCTACAATTTTGAGCCAGACAGTTTCTTTGAAATCAAGTTCAAACTCTTTATTTAATAACTGGGCCAACTAAGATGCAGAATGGTGAAATAACATCCAAATCCTAGAGCTGGTCAGAGCCAGAGCTAAACTTGGAAGCAAGTCTCCCGGCTCCCAGGCCAATTCTTTGAACTCTGCCATGATGTTTCCTTTTCTGTCCTCTAGATTTATTCCTTAGGTTCTTTTTTTCCTCTTTTTTATTTTGACAAAATTTCAGCAAAGCTTTTAGAAAAGCTGTAAGAATAATATAGAATTTCTATAAACCCTTCTCCCAGAGTCACCAAATATCAACTTTTTACTATTTGCTTTATTATTCTTTCTTTCTCCTGACTCTCTCTCATACACACACTTTTTTTCCTGAAACTTTGGAAGTGAGTTTTAGATGCTGTGTCCCTTTACTCCTAAATCCTTCACTGTATAATTCTAAGAACAAAGACTTAGCACAATCTAATATAACCATAGCAATCGTCAACATCGAGAAATTTAACGTTTTTAATATTATCTAATATACAGCCCTGATTTAAATTCAAATTGTCCTATCAACGTCCATAATAGCAAAAGAGAAAAGAAAATGTTTCTGGTCCAGGACCCAATCTAGGGTCACACGTTACAGTTCGTAGTCTTATTTTGATGTACCTAAACTATAGAAAAGTTGAAAGAATAAATAATTGCATACTCTTTGCCAATTGTTATCATTTTGCCACATCTGCCTCTGTCCCGCTCTATGTATGTGTTTATATCAGTGCTATTCAACAGAACTTTTGTGATAACAAAAATGTTCTACACCAGGGCTGTCCAATGCATTGCCATGTGATACATGTGGCTATTGAGCACTTTAAATATGGCTAATGTCACCGAGGATTTGAACTGTAAATTTAATTTAATTAATATACTTTTAATGTAAATAGTTCTACAGGACTATGGTGGCTATCTTATTGGACAGCACAGGATTTATATAATATTATATAATATTTATAACTACATTTTTGTGTATCTATGTCTATATCCACACACTTTTTTTCTGATAAACTATTTGAAAGGAAGTTTTAGACATCATGACAGATCAACCCTAAATACTTTCAGAATGCAATTCCTAAAAATAAGGACATTCCTCCACCTAATCACACCATCATTATTATACCTAATGAACAAGCCCAATCCCATCTGATCTTGGAAACTAAGCAGGGTCGGGCCTGGTTAGTACTTGGATGGGAGACTACCTAGGAAGACCAGGTGCTGTAGGCATAAAAAATAAAAAAATAAGAGATTGTAAGCTGACAAGGTCCTTGCAATCTGTGAGGTCAACCAAGGGTTGCCTCACCTAAAATAAATAAACAAACAAACAAGCAAATAAATTTAGTTACTCTCTCTATCAATTGATATTCATACCATATCCAAATCTCTCCAATTGTCCCAAACATATTGTTTATTATAACTGTTTTCCCTCTAATCCAGGATCCAGTCAAGATGAACACATTGCATTTGGTTGTTGTCTCCTTAACCTTTTAAAATTTAAAATGCTCTCTCTTCCTTTTTACATAACAATGATTTTTAAAGACTTTCACCAGCTGTCTTCTAGAATGGGCCAAATTCTGCATTTTTCTGATTGTTTCCTCATGATTAATTCAAATTGAACATTTTAGTCAAGAATATTATATAGGTTACATTGTATACTTATTACACACACTACATTGTTCTCCTATTGGGAATGCTAAATTTGATCCTTGGTTAATGTGGAGTTGCCCAGGTCTCTTCACTGTAAAGATGTATTTTCCCCTCTGTAATTTATAATTAATCAGCAGGATGATATTTTGAATGTTTCTTTTTCTAAAATACAAGCCAAAATAAAGGCTTCAAGATACAAGCAAGATTACCTAGAAAATTTATTTAGCTTTTAGAGTCAACAAATAAAGCAAAAATCACATATGCCCAAAATTATACCCCTGGCATATTATCTTTCAACAGGTTCCAAATAGTCCGTTTTTTGCTTTGTTAGCTGCGTTTTCAGTGTTTTTTGAGTTAAATATCACGGAAAATAGTTGGCTTCTGTTTAAGGGCTTTGATGCATTTTTAAAGTGTATCTTAAAACTCTAGGATTGCACTATGAAGAAGCATAGTAACATCTCCCAAATTACATCATAGGCTCTATAAATGAAACACACGAGAGGAAGAATAACCCATACTACTTAAAATCTATGCATACTAAATTGTTATTTCTTTCTCTCTTTCTTCTCTACCATTTTCCTGGATGGAATTATCAAATCACTATAGATTTAATGCCTATACGAAATAGACCTATATGATCAAGTTAGCTCTTTCCACAATAGTAAGAAAATTCTCACTGAAGAAAGGTCAAGGAGAAATCTGTTAGAAGTCAGTGTTTTTCTTGAATAATATGGATCCAAAATTGGGACCTCGGGAAGTCACCAAGTTCCATGGGCAGTCTTCTGTTTTAACCTAGGCTTGCTAATTATTAGGTAAGATAGTAAAGGCTATAGTCCTAAATTCAAAACCCTATGAGTTTACTCTAATCCTTCTCCCTCCTCAAAAGGGCTGGAGCAGCAATGAGAGGCCAAGAAAAATAACTTAAAAGTATCAAGACTATTAAAAAAAAATCAATATGAAAAAGGCAAAGAATACGGACAGGCAATCCACAGGAACGGAAATATAAATTTCTCTTAAATATATGATAAGATGCTAAACATCTTATGATGATGAGATGATGAGAAATGGGGGATCAGATCAAGTGGGATCTTCAGCTTTTGTTCTGACTGAGACGGAGAGCCCTTGCTGTGTTTGAGCAGAGGACTTACAAGAGCTAACTTACAGTTTAGTAAGATCACTGGCTGCTGTGTGACCAACAGAATAAAGGGGGACAAAGGGCAGAAGCAGGGGGATGGGTTATGAGGCTACTGTCTAAACCCAGGGTAGAGGTGGTAGCAGCTGGTGAAGATGGTGAGAAGTAGCTGAATGTTGAAGATAGACACAACCAGATTTGCTGATTAGTTGAATATAGGATATGAAGGGAAAAAATCAAGAGTTCGGTTCCAGACATGTCACATTTTAGATGTTGACTAAACATTCAAGTGGAAATGACAAGTGGGCTATTGGAGTTCAAAGGAAAGATCAAGCTAAAGATACAAATTCGGCAGTGATCTTATATTGGTGGCATTTAAACCCAGGAGGTTGGATGAGACCACCTAGCGAATGAATGTAGATAGAAAAGAGACCTGGGGCATGAAAGAATCTCCATTTTAGACAATTTTTGCCAAAAGTTCCTTTTTTCTTTTTCTTCCAAGAATTTCAGCTACAAATGACAACCTATGAGAATGAAAAGCTACACTCCTAAGCTATTTCACAAAATCTGGCTCTCCTGACCAAGGTGTGGTATAATTCCACCTCTTCTCCAGAGACTGGGTTGGACCTCAAATGACAAACATTTCACATGGTGCCACTCACCCTTCAAAGTAAGCTGAGACTTCTCAAAAGGCAGGGCCACTCCTGCCCGGCTGGAGCTGGCAGATGCCATATCATCACCAGGAAACTGCAAGACAAACATAGCAGTAGGTATAGAGAATATCTGATAAAAGATTAAGGAACTGGACCCAACTTTAATATTTGAATTTAAAGAGAGAAAAGCAAGAAAATATAAACATCGAAGCAACTGTGGCCATGCTACTTCCAACAGAGTGGAGTGTGCCTGTCTTAAAATTTATGACTATTGAACCTGAGTAGGTCTTGGATAGCCTAAGAAGAACATAGCACTGTTACATCAAAGTCTGGAGGAGGGAGAGCCTAATATAACATCTCCAAAAAAGAAAGTCACAATTCAACAATTAAAAAAAAAAAATTTAATTTTTCAAATGGGCAAAAGATCTGAATAAACATTTTTCCAAAGAAGATATACAAATGGCCAATAAGCACATGAAAAGATACATGAGGCATACCTGTCACTCTACCTTGGCTAGAAGCAGAAGTCTATCTTACACTCTGAATGGATCTTTTTACTCATATACGATGTTGTAACACTGTATGTAGACTGCCATTTGGAAAATATTGGTTTGCTGAGTTTTGCAGATATTCCAAATGTCATATAATATCAAACTGTATTCATATCATAATACAATATCCAAAAAAGTCACATTTGTGAATGTCACCATGGATCTCATCAAGTCTTTAAGAACTGGGAAGCTGTCGGCTCTTTCTGGTAGATGTAAAGTGTTCCAAAATTCTAATTTTCACTTAAAAAGTCATATTTTACAATTGGTAACAAATACCATCAGTCTTTGAAGTGACAGGCTCACCTCATTCATTTTCAATAAAATACTGCCAAATACTCAAACCTAGTAACTTTAGTTGGTCTGTTTTAAAAACGGCATTTCATGAAAAAAGCAACTAATTCAACTCTCAATTCAAACAATCATACAAGTACTTTTTCTCAACACAACCTTCATACTGCAGGATGCAGCAGAAGTGCTCTGGGCATATTTCCCATTTCATCACACAGAATATTAAAAAGACATGCTCAAGAGTCAAGATTTAATAAAATTAATTTTTATGCTGCTTCATCGAGCACATTCTTAAGTGAAACTGGCTTTTTTTTTTTCTTTTCTTTTTATTGAATGTGCTGTGGTGAGAAATACAACGACGACAGCACATATTGATGGCATTGCCCTGATTCATGTGATGGCACCAACAGTTTTACTCACTTTTGCTTTTGCACTATCAGTGCAAATGTGATAACAGTGAAAAAGGCAAATAAAGTTATTATGAAAATAGTTTCGATCTTGCAAAACCCTAAAAGTCTCAAGGGGCTACCAGGGGTCTGAGGACCATACTTGAAAACTACTGCTGTAAAAACACTATAAAATTCCTATTCTACTTAACATCGCTAATATATTTTTTTCATTCTATTTTTATCTGTTCTCTCCTCCTAATTTCCTATTTTGAAGAGTTGTTCCGCCTTAAAACATGGCTTTTAACTCACCATATTACTCTATGAATATGGGAATTAAATATAGCTACAGCTAGGTGACATTGACTTTGACACTTTTCATAGGTAAAGTCAAACAATTTTATACTTCAACATTTTTGCCAAAAACATTTAAAGTGACTAGTTTTTTTCTGGACTACTCCATAACTGGCATTATGCTTCAATTTTCTACTCGGAGTAGCAATAGAAACCTCTGAAATGTTACCTAGAACAAGAGGAATACAATGCTGATCAGGATCTCTAAGACCAGACTTCTAAGTTATTAAAACCAATAGTGAATTCTGTTCTTGTCTTATATGACCTATTGGCAGCATCAGACACATTGATCACCTTTCTTCCTTGAAATGCTTTCTTCCCGCGGCTTCCAACACACCACACCTGCCTGCTTTTCCTCTTGCCTCTCAGGCTGCTCTTTGTCCCCTCCTCAATCTCTAATCAACAGAATGTCCCAAAGCACCGGTCTTTCACCTCTTCTCTTGGTTATCTCGCCCTATCTTATGGCTTTAAGTATCATCTGTTAACAATCCCAAGTGGCTGTGTCCGGTGTTAACCTCACGCTTGAATCTCAGATCCTCTTTGTCTATAGACAAAATTGAGCTTTTGATATCCCCCTACAAATCCGTTTCTCAGCTAATGACAAATCCTTCCATCCAGAAGCTCAGGTCAAAACTCTGGGGCTCATTTTTGCTTCCCCATTCTCTCTCACACCCCATATTCAATCTCAATAAATCCTACTGGTTCTACCTTTAAAATATGTCCAAGTTCAAACATTTCTCTCCACTTCTACTGTCACTGCCTTGGTCAAAAGCATCATGATCTCTCACCTGGATTATTGTATTTCCTGCTTATGCTGCCCTTTGTCCCCTTCGATCTAATCTCTAAATTCAGCAGTGATTTTTATTATTATTATTATATGTCATATCATATCACTCTGCTATTCAAAACCATCCAGTGGCCTCTTGTCCATCTCAGAGTAAAAGTCAAAGTCTTCAAAATGACGTTGGCGGTCCTACATGACACTCTCCCTCTCTGTGTGATACAGGCCTCTCTGACCTCACCTCCCACTTCTCTTTACCCTTACTCGCTCCCCAGCAGCTACATGGGCCTCCTCCCCGTTCCTTGAACATACCAGACATGCTCCCCTGCCAGACTTCTACCCCTCTCCCCAGAATTTTTTCTTTCTCCAGTTGTCCACATATATGGCTTATTCTCCCACTTCCTTCAAGCATTTCCTCAAATGTTGTTTTCTTAAGAGGTCTTCTCTGAACACTCTATCAACCTCAGCTCTCTACGCACTTTTTTCTATTTTACTTTTCTTTCTTAGCATTTATTACTGACATGATTCCTATTGTATTGATTTGTTGTATTTTTTGTCTCTCTCTCTCGCCCCTAGAACATAAGCTCCATGAGGGCCAAGTTGTGTGTCCCATCTATTAATCCTGTAGCACTAGTGTCTAGAAAGGTGCCTGGCTCTTACTAGGAAGTCCTAAATTTTTATCAAATGAATGAATTTGAGCATCAAGCTTCTGAAATTAAAAAGGATGTTTTGACTTCTTTAGACTAAATTTGTTTCAGTAAACAACAAAAAGATCAACTCTCCATCCGTCAGATGAGCAAGCTTTATGTACAAATTAGATGGTATCTGGCAACTTCAGGTAGAATTAAAGGTGCATATATTGTACCTCCCAGGATTCCACTCCTAGGTATTTACCAGGGGAAAATCTTCCAACAAATGCAGAAACCACCATGTTCAAAGATGTTCATCACGGCAATGTTTATAATAGCAAAAATGTGTAAACAACCCAAATACCCATCAATGAGGATTTGGATAAATTATGATATATTTATAAAAAGGAATGCTATATAGTACTTAAAATACATTAATTCAATATACATGAAAAAATCTCAAACTATAATGCTATAAGAAAATAAATTTTAAAAAAAGCAAGTGGCAGCCTAAGTATAGTATGACGGCACTGGCATACATTTGAACTAACACAAAACAATTGTATATATTGTTGTGGGCATACATAAATGGAATAAAAGTACAGAAGTATGGATAAGAAGGATCCATACAGAGTTCAGAGCAGAAGTTACCTCTAAGGTAGGAGAAGAGGGAGCAGAGGAATGGGACTAAGAAGAGACCAAGGGAACTTCAACTGTATCTGCAACATTTTATCTTTTAAAAAAAGTTCTGAAGCAAATATGGCAAAATGTTAATATTCATTAAATCCAGATGGTAGTTTTAATGACCGTTATCTTATTCTCTGAACCACTTCATATTTTTGATCTTTTTCATAATTTAACAATAATTTTAAGGAAGAAAAATGATCATATCTTGAATAATGGAGGAAAGATTAATAATTGTAAATTAAGCCAACAGGCTTTTAGTAACAGAGGTTAAAGCACTAAAAGCTGGAAATACATTATTTATAGAGTTTAAAAATAAAAAAATCTTTTAAAAAATCTTTACATTTACTGGGATTCTTTCTTTCCTAAGGCTACACAACTGAGGGTAGTTTTTAAACTAACTTCTTCTCCCTGAGCTCTAGCTATTTTTAGCTCCTGGTGGGAACTCAAGAAAATCCAAGAGAATGATACTCGAAGCCCCTACATGGCCCACTAAATGGGAGAAAGACCAAACCTCTTGATCTATACTTCGTGACTCCAAAACAAAATCAATTAGAAAAATTCTAAAGAAGGCTCAGAATAAAACCAACTGGGAAAGCAGGAGAAACAGAGTAGACGACACCACCATGTTTTTGTCCTCCAATGGCTTTCATAATTAGAGTCCATACTTTACTAACCATAATCTATGTTTTTATATGGGACTTTGTCTCTCTTTCCAGGTCCAATTAACAAGATACCACCCTGACATTACAAAGTTAATACTTTGAATTGTAAAACCTTTCCAATTATGTATAAAGAAAAATAACCATTACTACGGAAGGGAAGTCAGAGCCCATCCTGGTCAAAGTCCTTTCAACCTATTTATCAGCTTCTACCTCAGGGTCCCATACTGGACATGGGTCCTAATGAGCATGAGGTCCAAATCCCCACTACCCACTCCAGGAAGCTAATGAAACCTGAGACCCAGAATTTACTCTGCACCTATCTAGCAAAACCATACGTGGACTCAATAATTTTTTTCTCCCGATCATAGCAATGAGAAGTGTGTGCATCTAACTCACTCCAAAAAAACTGAGTTTGCACAAGCCTAGGCAGGCAGGGTGAAGAGGGAGAACAATGTTTAAAATATCCCCAAAGGTTATAGATACACAAAGAATTTCATTATTGAAGGGAGTAAGGGATATACTGGGAGGAGAAGACAAAACTGAGTCTGGCACATCTGCCCAAATTTCTTTAAAAATAAAAATAAAAAACATATTGCCCTCTGAACATAACCTCTATATAAACCTTGAAAATGTTTTTTAAAAATAATAGAGTAGAAAATATAAGAGTACATTATACATAAAGGAAAGTATCTTTCAAGAAAGTTCATTAGGATAAATGAACATTTATGTACATGTATACTGGGCCATGATATAAAA